TAGGTTATTTACAAAAATTCATGTCAATAATATACAACACTGCACTCATTTATAACTACGAATCCATACAATTTATGTATTAGATATATATACCTGTAGTTTGATTTTTTGAGGAGGGTTCATTTATTAAATAAAGAAGCGCGAATATTATAAGTTGGAAGGCATATTTGTTGATAATTAATCTTTCTATCAACAGAAATTCAAGTGATAAGAGCATAGAATGTACATTGATAAGATCAGGGTGATGCGTGACTGTTTATTTATTTATTCTCTAGACACACAAGTGCTTATCACAAGTAAACCTCCTACGTTACAGGTTGTATTTGCACGAAGAAAAATCTATGCAAAAATGAATCGTGGAAAGACTATGCACTGGTCAGTAGTGATAAATTGCAGCTAGTTGTAATTATGCTAAAGCCGGCGGCCCTTCTTTACTTATTCCTCTGTATTGTTTATTAACATATTGATATTCTTAGAACGTTCTGGTTACTCGACCTTTAGGGTATAATAATATTCGTTATATTTCTTAGAACACTTTGATTTATGTCGAATTTTTTTTTTTTTAGTACACTGAAAGTTATTTGTCGTCGACTTTCATTTTGTATGATTCACAAGAATAATTTGGATCAGTGGGAATAATTAAGTAAAGAGAATAGAAATACATAAATTATATTTGAAAGACTGTTTGTTTGTTTCTTTTTTCCTAAAAGTTTTATTGTAATATATTTAAAAAAATGAGATAAATTATTGTTTTTATTAGTGAAAGAAGTGTATACTTTTACAACGTTTTCATCGATGAATTTCTAACATATTTATTTATTATTGTATAAAAATATTAAATATTTTTAAAAATTTAAATATAAATAAACATAATAAAACGTATTTCCTTTATTTAAACGAATGAAAAAAAAATTACGAATTTAAATTACTTTAATTTAAGAACGTAATTTAATTCTAAAGATCAACTTTTATTCTATAATTTTTATGTAATCTTTATCTTTACCAATTTATCTTAACCTATAAATCGTAAAGTTGTCTCATGACCTTACAAAATTAATTATTTTTATCTACTTTCAATCACTTAATTTTTATCTTCATCAATTGCATCCGTCTCTTGGTCTTCCCATAATGAAGAAAGGAGTAAAAGAGAATATCTTTTCCAGCATCTTTATAAAATCGTTTTTAAATATAATTTATAAAATAAAATTAATTATATTATTATAAAATTTAATATAAAATCATAAAATAATTATTCATAATATAGTTAAGTAAATAGATTTATAAGATATTTATGTATATAACACTTTGGATACTATTATTATTTATTTTTAATTTTTTTTCCTATAAAAACTATTGATATATTTCATAAACATGACATGAATAATGTGTTTCTCTAGCCAGAATGGTTAAAATTATGTTTAAAACTTCAGAAGACGTGGGTTCGGTTCTTAACTATAGTTACACTCACATTTTTTTACTAGTTTGGGCTTGGTTTCTTTATTTTTGGGTGGACAAGAAACTCATACAGTAAGATTTATATATTAAATGTTTTTTAAAAAAGATATATAGCCTATAATTTACATAGAAGAATCGTTGAAATTAATTTTATTATGTAAACTAGACTCTACTTTTTTAAGATGTGTGAAAGGCTGAAGCACCTTATTTGCACTTTAATAATGCATTTAATATAATATTAATTAATAATAAATATAAAATAAACTGGAATTAATATAACGTTTTCATTGATTATATAAAATTGTAAAGAGGAAAAAAGATTTGAGGAAGTATATATTATATTTTAGATTTTTAATGTTATTTTTTTCCACTTAATTTCAGTGTTGTAAAGGTTGCATAATTTGGATTTAAAAATTATCTTAATTTAAGTTGGGAGTAATATAAAGCTGGATTTTTTCCGCATTATTTATTTGCTTTTACCCCTAATAATTGTTGCCATTACTTCAGATCGGTTCGGGATATATTAAAGGAGTGGGCCATATCTCCCGAACCAATAGTCCGATTATCCTGAAAATTTCTAGAAATATTTCTCCCTAATATATAAATCTCAGTACAAAATTTCAGAGACTTTTGACGAAAAATACAGGAGTTATTAAGCTTTAAAATGCGCGCATTTTCTTTGACCGATCTTCATACCTTCTCTGTTATATAACAGCCGAAAAAGTAAAAAAAAAAAATGAGTATNTTATTTTTTCTATTTTTTTTTTACAGTGTGGATAGGGTCATTGTCCCTCTCCAGCAGCTATTTTATAGCTCCTATAGTAGTAGCATTCTGTCGTAAGAAGAGCACAAGGCTGACTGCTGTTTTTGGAGGTTTGGCATCTGCACTCGGTTGTCTGTTCAATTCATTTGCCAAAGAACTTCATCAGGTGATATTCAGTTATGGGATCGTCATGGCTGTGGGTTTAGGAGTGGCTCGTGAAACATCGAATCTTATGATTGGCCAATACTTTAAAAGGAAGAGGGAGCGTGTTGAATTAGTCGTCCAGTGTGGTACAGGTGTAGGCGTGGCTGTTTTCTCAGTATTTTTTCGTGAAATTATAAGGTAAGTTCTACTAGACAATTTACAGCTTATATTAATAGTTCGTTCACACCCTACTGATAAAGTTGTAATCTGTAAAAAGATTGTATAATGACCATACTGTGTATCGGACTATAACCGATTTTTTTTATTCACTATTTATAGATTCGATAAACTTAAAATATGTAGTAATTTGTACATAATTTATAAGTTTATACTTCAAAAAATATATTTCGTTTTTGTACATTAATTAATCATTAAATTACACGATGAATAACAGACGTGTAATGATCATTCTGGACTATAAATACGCTTTTTACTATTTAAAAATTTAATAAATTTTAAAAATATTTATACTAATTTATATATATAATTTGTAAGATTAGACTTAGTAAAAAATTATATTTTCGTTCGTTAATTAATTATATAATTCTAGGGTAAATTTAGAAGTGTAATTTAGCTGTATTAAAAGACTTTGGTCTATATTGGACTTATAGCTTCGTGGGATCCTGGCGAATTTGAATTAGGGGGGTCCCCATTTACAGTGTTGATTTAAGACATTGTTTGGAGCTTCCTATTAATAAAGTTCCCACGAAATTTCCCCTTTTTCTTATAGTATAACGTGCTACTGACTTATACGCTTAGATATAAGAGGGATTTTCATTTATGTATTCGCTAATTAATAGTTCAAATTATGTAATAAATTATGAAGCATAATTTAATTTATTAATTTTAATTAATGTTTAAGTTAGAAGTTACGATTTTATATTATTATAAAGTATTAAATATGATGATAATTAATAAGAATGATATTTTTTCTAGAGCTTTAGGATGGAGATTGGGTCTTCATACCGTAACAGGAGTCATATTTTTAATGTTTTTTATTGGTATATTCTATCGTTCAGCTTCTTTATATCATCCTCAACGACGAGCTATATTACATCTTAAAAATCAGCGTAGAAAAATTAAAGAGAAAAACCATAGTTCTGATAAATCACCATTCTTTGATTTCTCTGTCTTAAAAGTAAACACCATTCAGATAATTATGTTATCAGTTGCAGTTGCTACTTTTGGAGCATACACCCCATTTTATTACTTCGTAAGTACACTTTATCTAGTTATCTTCTTACTTTCTACTTCTTAGAATCGTGTTGTTTTGCTATCTTACAAGACTCAGAATATAAAAATTTCATATCCAATATTGTAGATCTATATATAGGCCTACATAATATTTTTCTAAAAACTTATCAAAATATTTTCACGTCAAGTTTAACAGAAAATGATGATTTAATACTGAAATGTAGACCTGGCGACCTTCGGAAATCTGTCAACTATAGACGGGTTGATAATAGTACTTAACCTATCATGATCTTAAGCATCCGGTATGTAAGATAGACAGATGGTTAGAAAGATATTTAGGATGACCCATGCAAACCTGACACAATGAGAGACGCTCGGCCCACCTCTTGGGACAATTTTCACGACCAGGTATCCTCTTATTGTTCTAAGAGGAATAATGAAACCTTTTATAAACTATACATCCACCCAGAAAAAGAGGGTAATAATACACAGTCTACTAATATATTATTACCCTTTCTAAGATATATATATAGGCCTATATATAAAAAAAATTAGACTAAAGATCTAAAAACTTTTTTGACCTGAGGTGTTGTAACAAAGTCTAGTTTTTAGATAAAGTGTTGATGGGCGCGTCTTATTCATGGGTGTCAAGTGTTCGAGTTAACAACTTAGTGTGCATACAAGTGAAATTTTAATACATCTTTTTATTTATTAAGTATATTCGCATGAATGTTAGTTATGTTTCCATCTTGTAAATAGATCAACTTGTAGATAATTCAACATCATCTGTATGTATGATTTAACTATATTTTTATATAAAATTTAGCTTAAAAAACTGGATAAATTAAGAATAAAAGAATAAAACATAACATAAAATGTAAGATTTTAATAAAATAAAATATATAACTGTAGCAGTTTCTACATAGTACAGTACTGTGTATACATACAGTTAAACGTGACTCTGACAGAAATTAAGTTATAACTTAAAAAAATATCTATGAAATTATAGAATACATTTATCATATGTAGTACAAATGCACGAAGATCACAACCCCAGAAATATTTTCGTGAGAAAATTAATTTTTTTTATTTCTTACTCTAAATCCAACATGTAAAGAAGTCAAGAATAATAAATCGTGACAGTAAAATGACTCATCACTAGCACGATTCTGTAAAGAAAAAACATATGTATAAATTCAGTAAATCAATTACAGAAGGAAGAAGAAGTTTATCTTAAATTAACATTAATTTTTATATTAAAAAATGAAGAGGAAGAAGAAGAAGAAGAAGATGATGATGATTTTATGATAAGATCAGTGATTGTATTTTCAATAATTCCTAGTTTTTAAATCTCCTTATATAGATACTTAAAATCAAAATATTTAATATTAATCATTATTATTTTTTTTTATTATTTTATAAAAATAATATATTTTTAATTACAATATAATTAACTTAATCGTTGTATTCTTCAACGTTGGCCAACACACGTTTTATCAGTTTTAGAAAATTAATGGTTTCAGGTAAACTCTAGACAGTAGTAATTGCAACAAGATTACTAGTTTTAGAATCAAATATTTTTCTTTAAAAAATTATATCAGATTATAGATGATAATAATAAAAAAAACCCTCTATATTAATTAAAATTTTTATTATATTTTCAGGCGTATTTAACTGAAGAAGAAGGACTTAACGAGACTGCAATATTATTGTTGCAAAGTTATTTAGGAATAGCATTCTCTGTTGGTTGTTTAGTTTTTGGCTTTCTGACAGCGAAAAATAGCATGCAGTGCATGATTTCTAGACAATATTTATGTCAAGCATCTCTTATAGGTGTTGGACTATCTATTTTATCAAGTCACGCTGTTCACGGATATCATGGATACGTCCTGTTTGTTAGTTCATATGGAATTTTTTGTGGTGGATTCCATTATTCGTTAAAAATGTTCGTTTTTGAAAATGTTCGTGCTAGAAACTTTGCCCGTGCTTGGGGCTACGTTCAATGGTGCCAATTTTTACCAATTCTAGTTGGGATACCTATAACAGGTAAATTGAACTTAAAATCTTTAATGTTTCTTATAATATCTTGTCTAAATGAATGTATTTTAGATAAAAATAGCTTCAAATATAGAATTAAAATAAGTTTTAATTAAAATTTTATGTTTTTAAGATGATACTTTTGTCTAGAAACGTTTCGGAAGTAAATATTTTTAGACAAAATAAAGGGTAATTCAAGACTCCATACATAGAAAAATAGGTTATTTTATTAAGTAGTCATCTATAAAGATTATCTACATAAGTAAAATTTAACTAGCTACACGTAAAAAAAGCATATAAAGTATATAATACGCAAACTAATCACAAGTATGATTGCTTTGTATGGATGCATTGACTTACCCGGTGTTATGATTTAAGTTACAGTAATCAGATTGTTATTATTATTATTATTATGTTACAGGTTACAGTAATCAAAATAAAAATCCCAAAACAGGATTTTTCTTCTCGGCAGCTTGCACCTTTGCTGGCGCCATGTTTATGTTCCTTCTGAACTGTTGTAAGAGATCATCGAGTATAGTATATCGGGACCATAGTCAGGAAACACCGACCGATTCCGGTCCAGGAAGCGGTGATGATGGCATTTGCACTTGCCACCATTCACCTGATGTAAATAAAAAAATGAGTAGAAGAGACATTGTAGAAAGGGAACCATTTCGATGCCATAGAACTATTTCGTTTGCACATTCGATAGAAGTAATGGATGAGGATGATGAATTAGAGAGAAGACAAGAATGTGTTACTTGTATGGGAGACGATGCTGTATTTGAATTAGAAGCATTCGATGAAGAATGGAAGGAACCATACAAAGATGAAAGTCAAAAAGAATACGAACAAAACCAAAGAATGAGCAGAAATGACTGTATACATCTAATGCATTGCGATAATATTTTACACATTCCCAAAAGGCCGATGAGTGTTATAGAAGAAGTAACGAGTACAGTATAGATAAATAATAATTATTTACACAACTATTTATATAATTAGGAGATAGTTTTGTAGTCTACGGCACTTTATATAGAATTATAAATTTATATTAAAATTGTATAATTGTGTTTTTTTATAATCTAACTTAAGTATACATGTTGATGATGTGTTTAAAGTGCCGTCGGCTTTACAAAACCATTTGCTCCGTCCAAAATATAATGTTATACGTATGTAAGCCGCTTAAAGGGTGGCTTAAACTTGTGATAAGTTACAAAAAAAAAATCAACATTTTTAATGGAGAATTTTTAAAACCGTCCACATTATTTTAATGGAAACCATTAAACTAGTCTTGCACATTTTAGATTGTTAAACTGAACACATTAATCGGTTGTATACTGTTCAAGTTTTAAGCTTATTCGAAACTATTAAATAAACTAAACTATAAAAAAAATCAAAATCTTTTATATGCAAAATTGAATAGATTATGTAGAATTGTGTGTTTTATGTGTACAAAATGTATAGCTTAATTGTAAACTTGTTGCATCTGATAAGAAGAAATCGTCTTGTTTGGTATAAGAAAATTATATCTTAGAACAATCAGAACAAACTTTTAATGTTTTTAAAACTATATATAATAATCATTTCGAGTCGAATTTAATAAAATATGTACAATTTTAATTATATTTATACAATTAAGGCAGGCGAGATTGATTTAAAAATGTACACTTGTATAGATAAATACAACTAAGATACACTAGTATTTTTCTCTTTAAAACATCATAATTATTTATATAATATACATTTTTTTCATATTAAATATAATTTTACTTAAATTTAAAACATTAAAATTGGATAATATCTATTTAAAATGTATACCTGTACAGGTAGAACGTATTAAAATAAGGCCACAATTAATTGTCTGCGGAAAATGGTTCATACAATATATATTGTTTTCTTATTGTATTATGTTCTCGACATCATCACGCAATTGTAAACATCGTGATTTTCATAAATGCGGGTATAGGACCATTAATAATGATAGTTAAAGTAGCATAAGGTATAACTTAATTACGTTACTTCTGTATAATAAATGAATAATACAATGAAACTAAACTTTATCTATTAAATCAAAAAAAAAAAAAATTGTATTCGGCATCGAAATGATTATTGTATACAATAAAGGCTTGTAATTTTTATACAAAAACTTTAAATATATAGGTTAAAAATATTTATATGTGTTTATATACATGTATACATTCATATACACGTGTAATGTCTGTATGTATGTATATATACACGTATAGTGTATGTATATGCGTACATACACACACATACATTTAAAAAAAAATCTGTAGATCAGATAAATTATTGTAAATATGTCATAAATATATATAAAAGAGTGTAAATATTGTTGCTGTAAATAATAATCTTTCATACTGCTGATTAAATCCAGTTTCCTCTTCCGATTCTTGTTCAATTTTATATTAAAAATAGTAAAAAAAAATTGATATTCGGAAGACATTCAAGCTATAAATAAACCCTTGTCTTATTTTGAGTATAAATGATAGTGACGTTGGATCAACATTTTAAACGAAGAAGATATTTATGTAATATCGAAAGTTTCACAAAAGTAAAAGGAAATCCCCTTAAGAAAGATCAATTCTTCAATCTGTAAGAAATAAAAGAGGATTAAGAAATCTAGTCGACATCTGCAGTGACAAAGAATAGGTTAGAAGTCTTGGGAAGTCGTTACAGAAAGAAGAATGTTCTCCTTGTCACACTCGGTCTTATACTTGATATTTTCACTGTATATAAGAATAAAATACAAATAATGTCGAACGTGAAAGTTTTTTTTTAATATAAAAAAAAAAATTTATATTTTCCTTTTTAAATATATAATTTTGCAATTTTTCTATATTTTTGACAACTTTCCTCTCCTTATAACAGAGCAAATTGTCACAAACACGAGTGAAGTATGAACGAGTAATTATTTATTGTGACGTCGTAATGTCGTGCTGTAATTTTTAATCATATTTTTAAATTAAAATATGATTAAAAATGTATCTGGTCTCGATTTTCATCTATCTAATTCCGTTCTCGAGATTAACGAAGGAAACACGGACAGACATACATACGGACGACAGTGGAAATGTATAGGTCTACAATTTAAAAATTGCAAACAATATACCTTTTATTCTATGCAAAAAAAAAAAATGTCTTAAATATAAAATTTAGCAATTTTTTAAAATATTTTTAACGAGGATTTTCTTTTAAAACTTAAATTTAATTGCCATAAATCTATATAAAAATATAATATAATTATACCAATAAAATACAGTTAAATATAAAAATAAATATATACAAAACGTTTATATATATATAAAACACACTTAAATTTAAAAAAATCGAAATATAACGTATAAAATTACATAGAAAAACAACGTTTTAAACTGAGAATATTCCCTCCCTCATTTAACATTTTATAAACGATTAAAATAATAAAAATTAAATTTTAAATACTTAAATAATATATCAGGAATATAAATTATAATTATCTCGATTAAATTATAATAAATTTTAAGACATCAAATCAATAATAAAGTTGCGATTTATAAAAATAAATAAACACTTTTGAAGGTAGATTGTTAAAAAAAAAAAATTAATTTTGGTACCATTCCAAATTTACTGGTGACATTCGACTGCACGTGCAGCTAGAGATGACACTTTTTTATCTTCACTTCTTCGCCTCATTGCCTTGGAACTGAAAAGTAAGAGAAGGCACATTAATGCTTTTGGAAATACCTTATACTTTACTGGAAGTAGTTTTATAGAAATGACAGTTTTAATAGTGTTATAAATTACTATTGCCATAAACACTTGAGATTTGAACTTAACAGAAACATTTGTAAGATTAATTTTAAAAAGAATATTATCTTCTATGAAGGTTTAATTATGATTTATATTCTTCAAAATAATCTACTTTTAAAAGTTTCATATTGTTCTACTTGAAACTTTGGTATTAAAAGAAAAGAAAAAATAAAAAAAAAACTTTATTTTTAACTGTAAATTATTCAACTTAACTGTAAGTTTGTAAATTTTTGGACTCAGAGGACATTGAAACGTCGAGAAATACAAAAAAATTTAGGGTGTTTCTGTATGTAGTGTGTGTGTGTGGGGGGAGGCACGATTTCATTTGTCCAATTTGAAGCTTAATAACTCTTGTGTTTTTTGTCGAAATTTTTCGAAATTTTGTAGAGAGGTTTAGGTATTACAGGCATTAATGCTATTAAATTTTGGTGATTAAAGGTATAAGGGGTGGGGAGATAGAGGGGTGTCACGTGTCGTATTTAAATTGGGGTCGAACTTTTATTCGTTATTAGCATTTACAATTTGTTTATAAAACCCATCTCTACCCTTAAAATTAAACCTTTTGTCATTTTATAATATATAATATTGTAAAAAGTTTTTAAAATAAAATCTTATAACAGATGGCGCCACCCACAATTTTAACTCTTGCCTGGAAAGTTTAGCAACTCCTTGTTAGATTTTTTTTTTTAAATTTAAGATCCATTTTCTGTATGATATGTAATTATAATTTTATCATTTAAAAAATAAATTGTTTTTGCTTATTTTGTTCTATTTTAATCGCTTATTAATTAGTTACACGTGTTTACTTTATAGTTACAATATAATTGCTTAACAATTTTTAAACATTGTTAAAAAAAACAACAACAGTATACAGTTTCTTAAATATTTAACAGTAGATTCTTTAACTAAGAACAGATTTAACTAAGAACAGATACTTTTAAAAAAGGGGACAATTTACCAATCTGTACATCGTTTCGTAGGATTTTTACGTTCGTGGCAGCTGTTGTCACTATATCTTAAATATAAATAAAAGAAAAGAAAAATTCCTTTGAAACAGTGTTTGATTTTCCAATAAGATAAAGCTTCTACACGAATCGAAGTGAAGAAAAATAGAAGTACTAAGACAGGAAACAAGTCGAATTTTACTTGTTTTCTTTTTATTTTATTTCTTCTGTTTTTAAAGTAAAAGAATTGTAGAAAATCCTCCTTCCAAACAATATTTTATTGTTTCTAAATTGGAAATTGAAATGAATGCTTTAGTCCATAAAACTTAGTATTGTTATTTCCTTATCTGATTTGCATCCTACACTAAGTCATGCCGAGTTAAACAAACAACAATTGAAACTACTTCGCATCGTTTAAAAAGCTTAAAATATATATATATAAATACAGGGTGGTCCAGAAGTCAGTTAACCAATGTAAATGCCAAATTTCACCTTAAAAAAATACTTATAAGCTATTAAAAATCGTTTTATACAAAGGATCATCTTCTTTGTTAAATACGGTTAACTGACTTTTGAGTATAGTTAATTATATAATTATTAATAAGAGAAGAGTAAAAGATTACTGTAAACATTTTTAAAAATATTTTAAAAAAGGAATTTTAAGAAATGATACATTATTTTTTTTTTCTAGTTCTAACGAATTGTTAATTATATTAAATGTATTATCAAGAATAACTTTTTTTGGAAATGATCCAAATCAGTATTTCCCACGCCAGAGACGGTGGCTATTTCTGTTGACTGTAAACATATTCAATCATTTAAGGTTGCTGGCAGCCAAGTTTTCTTATTTACACCCATGCTGACAACAAAAATGTTTTCAGTTCGATGTAATTAACAGTTAAACGAATATTTTAAATAGTTTTAAATAGATAAATGATATATGCATCAATCCTCATAAGCTCTATGAACATGATCTTTTTGCTCCTGTAATGTTTGTTTGCCTGGAATGACCTGGAGTTTAACACAAAAAACTGTTCTTTTACACGTGGTTTTATGTAAAAATAATGATTTAAATTAATTATTTTAAATATAAATATAACGTTAAGTTTCTAAATTTATTTTATTATTTTTTATATTTTTTTTTATTAAATAAC